GCCCATTTTATTTTTTTTTTTTTGTACCAGGGATCGAACTTGAGACCTTGCACTTTTGAGGTAGGCCAGAAGCTACTGTACATTTTTGTTAGCATAGCTGATGAGTTGACCCTAATATTGTAGAATACTTGTCCATTAGTCTGTAATTTCTTGTCCCTTATTCCATAAGTAAATCTCTTACTACAATTATTTTATGTACCAGCAGTTACATTTCAGCTGGTTTCAACATAACACCTTAGCTGAGTGCTATTTTTAAACTTTTCCCACCAAATGAGAATTAGATTTTGAATGTTATTTATATCATTTTTAAAGCATTTTTTCTGATAAAAATTATGCATTTTAATTTACCTTGTAAGGAATTAGAGTGGTATCCTTATTTAGAACATTTCCATTTCTTTCTGACATTTAGTAAGATGTTAAGAGAAAACTGATGAGTGTAGCTTACTGTCTTCAAGTTACATCAGTTATTTAGTGAGTTGAATGAGAATACATTATACTTATTTTTAGAATGTTCTTTCTTATAAATGTATCATGCACGTCATAGTCTTAGCAGCCTCACAAATGTGGGAAGTGAACTTGTCAGATATTATTCCCTTCCTGGGGTCAAGCTTAATTGAAACTTTGAAAGAGAGATAGGGAACCACTAAAGAAAACTCCAAGTGATTCAAGTAGTGGTATTTATAAATCTCTGAGTCAGTAATGACTCAGCACTGAAGCACCAGGCTCAGGAGACCGTTTGGCTAAAGCAACAATAGTGTGAAATTGAAGCTGAGACCATTTGGGGTTCTTGTTTGACATGTTGGATATTTGGCATTCAAAACATTTGGCAAAAGACCCTTTTACTCTAGAATCATTTGTGTAACTCTCACAAACTTGAGAAGTAAACTGCCTTCCCCAATTCTCCTTCCCAATTTTTTAAAAATATTAAAAGCAGAAAAAGACATCACAAGTTCATTTGAAAGTAAAATTTGATGGCCTTTAAGATTTTTTGGAAAAACACTAGCATTTTTTTGTACTTTATAACAATGGATTGCAACTGCCTGCTATTGATCTTATAATACTTATTTTACAAATGATGGACTGAGACTTACAGAAGTTAAAAGACTGCTGAAAGTAACACAACTGCCAAGCAATTTTTAGTCAAGATTCTAACTCAGATCTTTGTTGTTAGACCCAAGTTCCCTACCCCATGGTGCTTCCTGTGATAGAATGAAGTACAGTAAATTGTCAGTCATAACTAGACCACTTCAAATGAGCCAAACTTCCAAACCCAATTTGGGTTTAAAGTAAACTCCCTACAATTTTAATTGCTAAATGATAGAAATAACATTAGAAACCATTTTAGAATTTTGGAGGATGAAGATAAAACTTGTCTATCTTTAGTGTGGTATTGGTATGATCATAATTGCCAATTTTCCATTTTCTTTTGAATTTTGAGGACAGATTCAGGTCAAATTTGTCATATATATGATGACTGCTAAACATGTATTTGAGAACCTTTCCTTCAGAATAATGGGGGATTACTGTTATGCTAGGGATCAAGATTTGGGGCTTATTCTATCCAGTGGGGACAGACTGCTTTGGGAATTTTAGAAAGGGTCAGGAAGTACCAGGCTGAGCAACACTTTGCAAGGCACCCTCTGTCCACTTCCCAGGGTGGGACTCAGCATAGTGCAGCCCCATATGCCTCCACAGCAAATCCAGCTCCTTGTATAACAGAACCATTTCAACTGCTGGCCAAGGAATACTAACAAAGAGAGAGAGGTGACTGAGGCAATACTGCATCATACCCTTTTAAAGCCCTTAGAACTACAGAAAGGAAACCATAGGGAGAAGGGGCCACCATGTGCTGGAGTTCAAAGAGCAATATATTACATGATAATACATAACAGTATTTGGGAATCATAGAGTTGTCAACTTTTTATTTATTCTAGTAAGAACATATTAAAAAACCCTCTTCTATCTACTCTTATAAAAGAAATGCCACTTTAAAGCTAAAAAGAGGAAGGCCATTATATCAAGATAAAGATTGACCTTTAAAGCCAGGCGCAGTGGTGCACACCTGTAACCCCACCACTCTGGAAGGGTGAGACAGAAGGATCACAAGTTCTAGCCAGGGCAACTTAGCAACTTAATGAGACTCTGTCAAAACAAAACAAAATAAAACAAAAACAGATAGAGATGTAGCTCAGTACAAAGATCCCATGATCAATCCCTAGGTGGTGGTGGTGGGGAGATAACCTTTAAGATGAAATAATTTAATATCATTAAAAACTCACTCTTCTTCACTTAATCTCACATTTTTCACCTCAGCCTGATGGAACAATGTCAGGGGTCAGAGTTGTCTGTGGACTACTCCTGACAAACTCTGCATTCCTGCATGTGGAACACTCTGAAGCTTTGGTTCACTCTCAGATCTGAGAGAAATCTTGGAAAAGTTGCCCTTAAAAAAGCAGTCAAGAACAAGGTCATATCCATAATGTATGCTTAAAACATGCTGTTGAAACTGAAGAGAGATGAGTGTTTGCCAAGTGCTGGGGTTGAATCTAGGGAGTGGCCTGAAGAGGAGACCAAGAGATAACCCAGGTCCCCCTTCAGGACCACAAAACTCCTTATCCCATGAGGTAAAGCATTGGGTAAGGGTGCTACAGGCTGAGGGTTGGAAGCCCTCTCCTCCAGAACTAGAAGTCTCTGTGGAGTCCATATTGGAAAGGCCAGCCTAGGCACTGTACCAGCAGTGTCGGCACAGCCCATAGTGAGGTCCCCAAGTGTCCTCCATGATTCCCTGCCTCAGTGGGCCCTGTGATCCTCTAGATGGGTTCATTGGAGCCCATGGATGTAGTGCAGTGTGGTGAGGAGATCAGCAACTTTCAAGACAAGAAGACCAGTTTGCAGTCCTTAAAACTAGAATTAACACATAAAGGTGCTCTTCTCTTAAGATTAATTGCACCTTAGAGTCTATCCAAGCATAAACTTTGCCGACCACACTGAACACAGGGAGAAATAAAATATAAAAGCTATATTATAAATAACTACTCAGTAGCCCACTATATAATCAAGGTCTGTGTCTTAATTTAGAAAAGATTTCTAGTAGGTTTTGCTTCATATATATAGTTTTAAAAATATGTGATATGTGTAGATATGTGACTATTATACCTGTTGCATAAATGGTATCTTCATATTTTATGACTTTCTTTGTCCTGTTTAATGCTCTTAATCTTAAAAGCTGTATTGACTAATAAAGATAGTAATTGCTGCTTTCCTCACCTTATTCCTTCCCTCTTTAAAAAAATGTTTTCCTGATATATTTATTTATTTTATTCCCAACATTAAA